CTGCTGTGTACTGCGCTCTGCGTTGCCCATCCACAAAAGCTCGCGCTCAAGGCCACAGATATTTCACTACCCACGACACAATTGTCATCCAGCGGCAAATTTGCCTTCGAGCGCGAACACAAAGTGTCTGCCACAGTCATGGAAGCTCAGGGAGAACACGTCGGCAAGGATTGGCATTCGTCGGAGTTGGTGCGTGACGCTGAATCCGCACGCAGTTCGGACTCGTCCCAACAGCATCGTCGACAAGCATGGACGCCTGTGCCACAAAGCTCCTGGGTCCCGAGGAGCGCAAGTATGTGTGGAATAAATTGGCGAAAGAGAGGGTACGCAAAATTTTGTCAGGACAAGAAAGAAAGCTACGTATACGCGATGCTAGAGCCGAAAGACGCTGCTTCAGATTTGATACGTGTAGCCGCAGGCGAAGGGAATTGGAAGGGGGGCATACAAAACCGACCCCAGTCTGGTGAATGCGATCACCTACTGGAGCTGAACATTTTTCGCCGCATGCTTATGGCCAATCTAGTTTCGACATTGGTCGACAATCAGAACAAGGGTATGAACAGCATCGCCAAGGTGGAGAAGAAAATTTGTGATGCTTTGGCAACCGCTAACAATGCTGGGGAGGACAAGATCAAAGCTGTGCTCAATGGAGAGTCCAACATGTGGGGCGTGCCGGCTAACGTGAACCAGTTGAAGTTTCAAGCTGTTGATGCGCGTATAGACGGCACACCTATCACCTGGTCAGCAGACAAATCCACTCCACGCCCGAACTGGAACCACAACAAAGCGGCCCCCGGAGTGATCAGGTGAGCTAGTGCGATGATCTCGCACCTGTTTGATAACAATCCGAAGCTCATGCACCTCGCTGCTTTGTCAGTTATATTGAGGACCAGAAAAGCCACACAAAAGAAATAAGCAAACAGTTGTTTGACGTTGTCGAGGACGTGCTTACAAGAGGCGGCATCTCGCTTGCCGGTTACGACTCAAACAGGTGGTACATTTTGTCAGAGCAGATGTTGACAAATGTTGCCGAGGATATCCGAAAGAATCTAGCGGCAATTCCAACGGCAGTCGAGGCGCACTGTCAGATGAATCCCACCGGATACCAGAAAGGGCAGACAGTGCCGACCAAAGACGAAAACGGCTGCTGCCCAAAGGATACCAGGATCGATGCACGTTGGAGGCCTTCAGACACAGACTACGAGAACCCGGTGGCCGATCAAAAGACGGGTTGTAAGAGGAAGCGCCCCACTTGCGATAGCAAGAAGCAGTGCTGCCTCTTGGCTGACGGAAAAACTTCCAAAGATTCCAAGCCAAGCCGACGTGACATGCTGCGCGGCCCCATGTTCGCTCGTGGCACACTCGTTGATCAAGATGATTGTCCTGATTTGCCAGGTGGAGGACCGCCGCCACCGCCCCCTCCTCCGCCTCCTCCGCCTCCGCCTCCTCCGCC